CCTAGAATGTCTAGGCAGCTCTCTAGTGTCTTCAGATGAATGTTTCATTGGGCTTACCAGTATCTTCCTGGTGGGGCAATGATAAATATCTAGCTCCTACATGTTTGCATCAAACAAACTCCAGGTGTGGTTTGGATAGGGAAAAGTTCACATGAGCTGTTAGCAGCCAATCTGGAATATCTGGACACATCCACTGCTGCAAATGCCCCACCTAAGATGAGACAGGTCAGGCTCACGATCCTTCGGGTACAGTGTACAGTCCGTAGACAGACAGCATTCCTAACTGACCATCTCTACGGCCTCCCTCTGCAATGCCACCTCAAGAATCTTAACACAACCCCATGTGCTCGATAAACTCAAGCCCACATCACCTTCCTGCCCCACTTATAGATTTCTGATGGAGACGACTGCCAAGCCAAGTGACACAGCTGTTGTTGGAATTCAATAGCTTTTTAAAATGACATCATGGTTTTCTTGCCTAGATCCAGACTGACTTGATGTGTTGGAATAGTTTGTGTCTTTCCCCCTCTGCTTGAGAAATGAGAAGAATAAAGCCCGTGACTGGAAAGGAGGGTCAGGAAGACTACAAATATTTGGGAAGCGACATGGTTTGAGCTCTCAGAAGAGAAGTGCCATACAAATGATTGTTTTTAAAGTGCCACGTGTAGGAAATGCAATCCAGCTTTTTTAAAGAAGTGTTTTGGAGTTTCATCCCAATTTCCTGATGAATGGCAACTAATGAAATGTTTGTCTGGGACTCTGAAGAGGCAATTCAATTGGCTGCATGTAGATAGATAACACCAGTCGCTTTGATCTTGCAGACCAAAGCATCTTATATGATGATAAATTATACCAGGTTTCAAAATCCTCTAAATGATGTTATCTGCAATACCCTGCCTTCTTACTATCTCCCATTTTTATTTTCCCTCAGTGAAAGAAATAACAGTTTGTAAAGGCTTATAAATTCCAACCCTTATCTTTTAAAGTGGTTGTTCCTTTTCCTCATCTTAACATGCAAATAGACTGCCTTTCTGTAGCCTTTGATAAAGAGCTAGAGGAAAAGTTCACAAGGGTTTGATAAACCATCCTGAGAAGCCCAGCCAACAACAAAGACATACAAGGAATTTATTATCTGCAGTGCCATTGTGTACAGACCCTCACTTGACATCCTCAAGGATGCTGAGCACCATGGTAAAAGATGCTCAGAAAGGAGGCGGGGCTAGAGAGATGGCTCAGTCTTTAAAGTCAAGGCTCCCAACCAAAACATCAGAAAAGGGGGGAAATAAATAAGCAGAGATGTGGTACAGAGTGTGAATCTTCTGTCCACAGAAGAATGTCTTTATTTGTCTATGCAGTGCTGTGAGCGTGGCTCAGGGCCAAGAGACTGTCCTAGGCAGCTCATGCAATGTGATATTGCAGGATTCCATTGACCTTCAAGTCTACAGATGCCTCTGCTCAGCCACAAATTGCTATATTACCTTGGGAAGACCCTTGGATGGTTAATATCTTTCTCTGTGAAATGAGGGGTAAGCCTGACCTGAGCTGGCCATGGCGATGCTGTCTGCTTCCTCTGTCCACAGACTCATATATCCAGTCAAAGGGACTATAGAGAAGAGCCCAGCTCTCTCCACCTGCCCATATTCAGTCCCCACATGATAACTCAAACTCACAAATCTTCCTCTCTCTTTGTTTCTTCTCCCTATTTTCCTACTAATTTTTATCATGTTATTTGTGTTTGTAAACATTATCATGCTGATACCTGGCTAGCCTTGTATTTTATTCATAAGGAACCCTATTTTATATTTAAAAATAACTGGCAAAGATTGGGCATGTTCAAAGTATGCAGTGTGATGATTTGATACAAGTTCACATGCACTAATTGCTTAGCACACCACTCACCCATATGGTACCTTAGCTCCTCATCCATCCTTATCCAACTTAGGGTAAAGACTGGCAGCTGCTCCCCACCCCGGCTTCAGTGTGCGGCATGTGTGTAAGATGTACCTACAAGTAAGATGAGAGTGTTGGTCATACAGCATAGTATCATCTACCTTCATCCTGCTCAGGATGAACATTGTTCCAGGGCACGCGCACACACACACACACACACACACACACACACACACACACACACACACACACACACACACACACAGTTAGTAAGGGCCATACCCTTTTGGAAAAGTCCTCCATCATTTTGGTCAATTTCTGAAAATACAGTCATTTGGTTTCTAGAACTAAAGTAGCATGTTTTTTAGACTTACACCTTCCCCACCTCACATCTATTCATACACAGCCTGATGGCAAGCACATACTATGCATTACTCACCAATCATGGGGCACAGAACACCTTCCTCCATCTGAACACTGTAAGAAGGGATTTCGACTCTGCCCTGGGGACCTGGCTCTCCTCAGAGTCCCAGTCATGTTGTCTATATGTCTTTCTGTGACATTAATAACTCTCCTAATAGATCTGTTACCCCAAAGGACAGTCCGCCTCACTGTCCTCCTTAAGCCCCAAACCCAAAACCTTCCATGCCCCACACTTTCATTGTCCCTCATCCCCTGCTGGGCACTTGGGTTGTTTTCTTACGCTGGCATTGTTGAGTTACCCCATGCCCATGGGAACCCTCCGGTACTATAGTGGTCCTTCCCAGTGCGACCTTCCTTCCTTCCTCCCTTATAGGCATCTTCCCTTAGCTTTACCATCCCGTGTGCCTAGTGTGAGTCCTTGACCAACACTTACCTGAAGGGAGAAGCAATCCTCTAGAGGGGAATAAATGTGCAAATTAACACCAGTTATAAATCGTCAGTTGGCGTGAGGGCAGGGAAAGAAAGAAAATATCCGGGGAGGAGACGCTGATCCCCAGACAATAAGACCATCTGGGTACACTACCATGAGATTCACCCTCCTGTTGCAGCTCAGTAACCATCAGAGCAGATGAGAACTTACAGGTTGCGTCAGCCTCACCGCAGGCCTCAAGGACACAAAGAAGAACTGTGAGAGCATCCTTAGACTTGGGCCGGTGCTGGACCTGCTGCTCCTCTGGAAGGCATGGAAGAGAGAGAAAAGAGAGCCCCCACACGCCTACCCTGCCTTGCAATTCAACTTCAAAACCTCAGACTCAGCCCCTCAGTGGATCCTGTTCATGTCACCGTATCTGTCACCTTCTCTGTCACCTGGTCACTCTGACCTATATCTGCCCTGGACCTGCCCACCCAGCCCAGGCTCACTCTGACAGATTCCCCCAGGTACCACTGACATCTCAGCTGCCTGCTGCTCTGGCATGGGGAAGCCCACCCTAGCCTCTCCTCTGTTAAGAGGCTTCCACCCCCACCTCCATCCACCCACCCCTGTGATCCTGCTTCATTTTTCCCCTCTATGTTCTTGTTCCTTCACCCTACCCTAGTGTTTCTGTTTCCTCCCAGCAGCCCTGTGTTCCTGCCTGCCTGCCTGCCCTCTCCCTCCACATTCCTGCTTCCCCTCTCTGCCCAGCCCCAGTGTGTTCCCCCACCATATGATGTGCCTCTGCTTTCTTTCCTCCTAGACCTTTGCTTCCTTCACCTCCATCACACACACACACACACACACACACACACACACACACACACACACACACACAGCCACCTGATACATGGTATTCATTTGTCTGCTTTCTGGGAATACGGAGGCAGTCTTCCTTCCTCTCAAGTCCTGATCCAGCAGAGGTCATGACACACCCTGGATATACCCTCACCTCTTGGTATCCCTGAAGGACCTGTGTACCTGCTCCTGGGATGTCTTGACAACTAGCAGTTTCTGGCTAGCAGCTGCAGGATTGGGCCATCCCTTATGCCTATCACACAACAGGTGCTTAAATAGCCTTTTCTCAGGGCATTTGGAGCACTGGTAGTGCTCCCAATGTAACTAGAGCCACAGTGACCTCACTAGGACTTTGCTGCTGTGAGGAGGCCAGCTGCTGGCCCAGTCTGGGAACAGCAGTGCACTGCCCACTGGCATGGATGTGCCCTCTTCTGGTAATTGACCTTCTTGTTACTCTCAGGAAGTCCTGCTATGAAACTCCCCAGAGACTAGATAGAAGGGTCTTTCAGGGTTCCTAAGAATCAGTCCCTCCAGGTCACCCTCATAATTGCCACTTCCTTTTCTAGTGGCTGAACCACACTCTAGTTTCCCTGGCTACCCTGGGAGGAGAATTGAGCCACCTTGGGATCCTTAGACCCTTGAGGCTCAGAACTCCTGGCCACAGGAGCAGCCAGAGCAGAGTCAGGGGCTGACATCCTCCACAGGATGTCATCATGATCCTAAACACAAAGGAACCCCAGGGAGCGGTGCATTTTGTGCATCCCCACAAATAGCAGCTATCAGGCAAGGCTCAGTCTCAGTACCTAGTCCAGAGGGTCAATGAGTAACAACAACAATAACCAAGCAGCCAACCAGGATCCTGTCTCCTCGGTTCAGACACTTAAGCTTCTGAAGAAGGAACATGGGAACATGCAAGGGCGGGGTCCTGATTCTGGAATTCGAACACTGGGCAGGCTTCAGTATTCTTCTCTCCCATGATCCTGGGCGTGGCCTGAGGTAGCCCTCTACAGATGAGGGTGTTTGCCCAGATGGCCTCTGAGGTTCTGCACAGTTCCAAAGATCTCAAGGTCTCAGGTATCTATTTTACATATTCTTCTTCTCCTTTTTGATTTTATTTTATCTTATTGGAGACAGGGTCTCATGTAGCCCAGAGTAGCTTCAAACTCAGTATGTAACCAAAGAAAACCTTGAACTTCTGATTTCCTTCCAAGACTCCCATGTGCTGGGATCCTAGGAATGTACCACAATGCCCAGTTTATGCAGTGCTGGGAACTGAACTCCGGGCTTTCTGCATGTTGGTCAGGTTGTCTACCAGCTGAGCCACACCTATTTTTCTTTATCAAGATGGAATCCACTCCATCTTTCAAGGTAAATAATTGGGTGGCATTTAGTACATTCACAAAATGGTCCGACCAGATGGGTTATTATTTTTTTAATAGATAGGAAACAGAGAAAACAAAGGCCCTGAGAAATTAAAGGATGAGGTTTGGGTTGTCACTCTGTCCCCCCACCCCCAGGGAACATCACCATCCCTGCAGTGACAGGACTATGATGTGGGGCCCACCAAGCTGGCAGAAGCTCAGCAAGAGCCCAACTCCATGTCAGCCTTTGACTGGCATCCTGGATTTCACCTGACACCTGAGGTGGCATGCTGGCCCACTGGGACTGCAGGTGTTCAGCTCACAGCCGTCTTTCCTCTCACCTCGGGGTCTACATCCCCACAGATGTCCTTGTCACCAGCCGACAGCCATGAGCACAGGAGAGCCCTAGGAACTGTCACACCCGGGCTCTAAGGAATGAGATAAAATGCAAGCAGCCAGGCCTGCTGGATGAGGAGTGCCCTGGAGAGGCCAAGTCATGCCATCGGTGCCCCTGTGGAGTGCAGGGGCTGCCACAGACCCTGGCACCTGGAGATTTATCCAGCTCCTGCTCAGCATGTTGGCCGGGTGGAGAGGGGGAGTTGCTGTTCTGTACAGCAGCCAAGCATTTGTGGAATGGAATGCTAGTGGCACTGCAGTGAAGAGGGGTGAGCAGCCACACCACATGTGCCACGGTTCTCACAGCTAAAAATAAAGTCTGAAGCCAGCCCTGGCCTCAGGTTCCCGTCATGTCTCTAACGTCTGAAAACGGATGTTGATGCTTTCTTCTTTGGATGCATCTCTCCTCTTTGGTGTATGTGTGAGTGGTGTGCATTAATGTCAGTGCTCTGCTTTCTGGGGGAAAAAATCTGTGCATCTGTATTTGTTGTAGTTTTTAAATATATCATGATGACAGCTTTATGAAGATGGAGATAAAAATGCACACAGTGAATCTGTGCTTCTGTGTGCCTACCACTGTGCCTCCAGTGTCCTAGGTCCCTAGTCAGGAAGACAGGCATCCATGACCCTGTGGAGACAACGCCAGAGGCAGTAGATCAGTTGCAGCTCCGAGTAGAGGGTGGGGGGCTGGGCTCCTCCTGCACAAGCCTGGCTGCTAGGCATCTGCAGTCAGCATTCATTTCGCAGTGAGGAAGCTGAAGCTCCAGAGGTCGTCCAGGAAGTGACAGGTGGAGATGTCCCCAGCGTTGGGCTCTGGAGGGCCCTTGAGCCCTGGACTGTCTCAGCCCCTCCTCAGTCCTCACTTCCCTGGGTGAAATCTCTGATATGACCCCTAGCTGGAGCAATGGAAAGGTAATTTTCCCCTGGAGCACTGGGAACGTGGTTTATGGCTGCTGCAGAGAGCACTCTCCGAGAGACTCTAAATTACCCAGCTCGCTGAAACATGCTTGCATGAATAATAGATCCAGCCCAGATGCAGAGCGCCTCTTGTGCAATTTCTCAAGGCGCCTCGAGACTCTCTCAAGGGTGCTTGCTGAGGTCACAGCCTACTTGAGCTATTCCGGGCTGGGAGAAGCAGAAATCTGCAGGTGGGAAGACACCATTCCTCAGCAGTGTGGCCTCTTGCCTTTGTGAGGGAGGCAGGCTCTGCCAGGGCTATGTCTGTAGGAAGGGGAAGGCTGCTGTCAGCTCCTGCTCTGGAATAGAGTGCTGCTGCAGGCTTTGTGATAGCTGCTCCATTTAATCCTCCCCAATTAGCAAGGTGGGCACGTCCCGGTGTCATAGTGTGGAAATGGCTAGAAACACAGAGCTCTTCCTGGCCCATGAGTACGTGTCACAGCAGGTAAAGGGAGCTTTAAAATTTGAGAGCAAAATGCACGCCTTTCATGAGAGCTGCTCCCCAGGAAGGAGGGGGCTTTCCTCCTAGCCTCACACTGGGCTCAGCGACCTTGAGCATGTCACTGTCACCACAATGTTCCTGGATCACAGCGACCTTGATGTCACAGTGTGCAGGAGGTACCCACAGTGCTTCCCTGCTACATTCTTCTGATCTTGAAGAGAGGATGCTGTGCTCCCTCAACAGCATGTGACAGCCATTGTTCTGTTTCTGTGAAATCCGCAATAGCTTAGGGAGAGAACAGGAGGCTGCACAAACAGGCACCTCGCTTCATGTATTTGGGGTGACAAGAAAATCCCACCTGTATTCATGTCTGGAGCAGAGTAATGGCTCCCAGTGATGTCCTGGTTCCCACCCCTGTAAGCTACGAATGTGTCTGTCAGTAGCAAAGGGGACTTTGCAGGTGGGATGGCATTACAGATCCAGAGATGGGGAGATGAACTGAGGTGGGCCATGACACTCAGGGTCCTAAGAGAAGGAAGAGGGAGCGTCAGAACCAGAAGGAAGGTGATTATGGGAACAATTTGAAGGATATGACTCGCCTGCCAAGGAAACCAGCAGTAATCAGGAGCCCTTCCACCCTAGTGGAAGCCATTCATGACCCAGCTGTACTGTGCTGTTTCCCAGCATGCTGTTCTCATAGGTGTGATACTTGCAAATGCTGAACCACCATACTCCCTGTCCTGTGGAGCACCCTTCTTGGTCCAGAATACACATGTAGCCATCTCTGCACACTCAAGGAGGGAAGCACAGAGGCACTGTTGCCAGTCCCAGCCTGGTTTGCTGTTGGGCATTGGGTGTGCTCACTCAGGGATGGATTCAGAAGCCTCCTTTCTGATACCTCTCTATGAAGGCAGAAGCTGAAGACGTAGAGCAGAAGAGAGGGATCCACTGAAGCCATCTGGGGTGGGGTCCAGTTTCTTTTGGGATATCTGGGAATGAGACATGGCTCATGGTCTGGGCAGATAGTCCTCTTAAAGGCTGCTGCATCCTCCTCATCCACCACTGCTGAGTTTTCCAGTCCTCAAAGGCCATGTGCACATCCTTGCTTACCAGCTACCACCAGCCCTGAAGTGCTGTCCCAACTCAGGGGGTAGAAGACACCCCTCTGCCCATATACACCCAGCATGCACTCAAGAAAGTTCTGGGACCTAGTGAATTTAACATTAAGAGACAGGCACGGGGCAGGGATCTGAGACAGGTTTGTGGTAGGGAGGTAGGAAGGAGTATGGGTGCCAAGTCTGTCCTGGCTAGTTTTATGTCAACTTGTTACAAGCTGTAGTCATTTTGGAAAAGGAAACCTCAATTGAGAAAATGCCCCAACAAGCTTGTGGTGCGTTTTCTTGATTGATGGATGATGATTGGGCCCAGGTCACCACAGGTGGTGCTACCCTCGGACAGGTGGTCACTGGTGGCATAAGAAAGCATGGTGGGCAAGTTATAAGTGAGTAACCAGTAACCAGCAGTCTTACATGGTCTCTGCATCAGTTCCTTGAGTTCCTGCCCTAGATGATGGACTACAAGTCATAAGATGAAATAAACCCTTTCCTCCCCATGTTGCTTTTGGTCATGGTCAGCAATAGAAAATGTAACTAAGATAAAGACCCGTTGGGGGCCTGAGGCTTGCTCTGCATGAGTGTTTGTCAAGGCAAGAGTCTCTTGTAGGAAGCAGGAGGAAGGCAACATGTCAGAACTTCCAGTCATCACATGAGCTTACTGTGAACCTGGCTTTGCTATGCCCAGCATGATCCCAGAAGTGGTTTTGCCTCACTCGTGGTGTGATGACACAGGAAGCAGCTTTTTCAGAATCAGGGTTCAGGATTACATACACTGTATGCCCATAGGGGACCCAGGGTGGAATCCTAGGGTTCTGTTTAGTACATGCTCACAGGGAACCCTGAGTGGGATGCCAGGGTTCTGTGTAGTGCATGCTCACAGGTGACCCAGGGTGGGATCTCAGGGTTCTGTGTAGTGTGTATTCATAGGGGACCCAGGGTGGGATGCCAGGGTTCTGTGTAGTGTATACTCACAGGGGATCCAGGGTGGGATGTCAGGGTTCTGTGTAGTGTGTACTCACAGGGGACCCAGGGTGGGATGTCAGGGTTCTGTGTAGTGTGTACTCACAGGAAGCTCAAGGTGGGATGTCAGGATTCTGTATAGTGTATACTCACAGGGAACCCAGAGCTGCACATTAGAGTTCTGTACAGTATGGTGTCTGCTCATAGGAAGCCTGGGCTAGCTCATTAGGACTCTGGGTTATGCATCAGCCTTACCTTTCCCACTCAGCTGCAATCCACTCTCTCTGGAAATCCTCTTCATGCCTGCCAGAACATAATAAATGTAAGATGACTTCAGTTCTTAAAGCCAGTGTCACATGAGGGTTAAATCACATCACATGCCTCAAAGTCAGAGAGAGAAAGAGATTGTCTAGACAAATCTGGAAGGTCGTACATGGAACTGTCACATGTATGCATGTTGCTAAATATATATGTGCCGCCAAATCGAGCACAACATACATGGAAAGTTTGAGGCATTGAAAAATTTATTTTAAAAAGAAAGAGAAAGAAATGATGATGTGTTAATTTCTGAGATAATGCCTTAAATGCAAGACTTAACTATGGAAAAATTTTAAATTAAAATATTTTTCTGTACAGTTACAGAGAATAAAGCTTACAACTTATTATGCTGCATTTATCCTCATTTCAGTATCTTAATTTATATGCAATTTAAACCCAGCCAATAATAACTGTGGGAACATTACCTCCTAAGACAACCTTTGTGCAAATGGTTTCACATAAGCCTAAGAAGTTTTCAGTAATGCTTTCTCTTTTGCTCAAGCTTACAAATTATATTGGGAAAATATTTATATAAAAAGTAAGGGGCAAAGGGGCAGAGGGTTGTGTGAATGTATCTAGACAATTTGATACCTACCTACCCTTGGGTGAGTTGCCTTGCACTGTGTGTATGCCCAGGGAGCTGGGAGTCTAATACTGCAGGTGTTTCTGGCCCAGCCACTTGGAAATAGAAGCTTTGTGGCTTTGGGGGAGCCTGGTAAACAGGAGGTCAGAGACTCAGTCTGCTGGGCTGCAGTAAGTGCCAAGATAATGGGCAGATGATATTGATCCTCACCCTGGGGAGCAGAGCAGGGGCCATTCAGTAGCTATGTGGACCCAGACAGAAGCTGAGTGGGGAAAACTTAGGGTTCATGAGGGAGGCCCCTGTACCCCCACATCAGCACAGCATCAGGACCCAGGGTGTTCATCTCATAGCCACCCTGGAATACATCTCCACTCACCAGTCCCAGACATGTGCCTGACTGGACCTCCAATGGGGTCCTGGCTGTGCCCTGCATTCCCTGCAATTTGTCCCTCTTTCTGACCCTGGGAGGGGACCAAGGCCTAGGCCTAGCCTCCTCCTGGGATATTCAGAGAAACATTCAGAGTTCAGGCCACAGGAACCATGTCTGGCTTTCCAGCTGCTCCATATCAGCTTACTTTAGTCCAATGGCTCCATGGGTGCCCTGTTCAGCAGGAATGTGGGATTCTTGCTCTGTGGGGCCCTCAACCATAGCTATTTCTCCTTGTCTGATTCAGAGATGAAACTAATGAACATCTGCAGAATGCACATTGTAGCATTTGAAAACCCCTGGCCTCCTTCAATCCCATCTATCCTCATGAGGAAGGGCACTTGCCAGATGGCCTCAATCATTCCCTCAGAACTTTGTGAGGGAAGGTATGTTCTATATGGCCTCCTTCATTCCTGTTGGCCCCTGAAAGGAAGAGTAAATACCAAGCAGCCTCTGTGGTTTCATATGACCTCAGGAGAAAGGGCATGTCATAGACAATCCCCCTGATTCTGATATAACATCATGAAAAACAGCAAGTGTCATAAGGCCTCCATTACCCCATCAGCCTTTTGAGGAGGGCATGGCCCAGATGCAATGAGGCTCAACTGTAGCTAGAGTTTTCCTGCCTGGCCCACAGTCAGGACAAATCTCTCTCACCTGCCAGACTCACAGCCACTCAGACCCGACCAAGTAAACACAGAGACTTATATTGGTTATAAACTGTATGGCCGTGGCAGGCTTCTTGCTAACTGTTCTTACAGCTTAAATTAATCCATTTCCATTAATCTATACCTTGCCACATGGCTCGTGGCTTACCGGCATCTTCACATGCTGTTTCTCATCATGGCGGCTGGCAGTGTCTCTCTGACTCAGCCTTCCACTTCCCAGCTCTGTTCTCCTCCTTGTCCCGCCTACACTTCCTGCCTAGCCAATGGCCAATCAGTGTTTTATTTATTGACTAATCAGCAACACATTTGCCATACAGAACATCCCACAGCACTCAACATTCCTCCATATACAGCTGGACTCACATTTTCAGTCCATCTTGAAAATATCCCTGCTCAGTTAGAAGTGCTTCTTCCGGCTCAGGTACCCTGAATGCCTCTCTTCTCTCCCAATGATGGCTGGCTACAGAGGCTCTGGAAACCCACACCATGGAAAGATCTGGATCCTAAATGACAGCCTGTATCAGAGCTCTGCTGGGCTATACCCTCCTCTGAAACAAGGGACAGAAAAGTACTGGGTGGGGAAAACACTTTAGTGAACAGCTCAAGCAGGTGATCCTCCATGACCTACAGGTGCAACCCTTGGTTTCAGTTCTGCACCTGGCACACGTTGGTGTCTGCAGGGTCCTGGTCCAGTGAGAAAGAAATGTCAACAGTGCTGAGGCCCTGAAATGGGAGTGGGAGAGTAGAGTGGGAGATTAACCTATCCTGATAAAAATGCGTAAATTAATATTTTCTGCCTTCAAAATGAGAAGCCTACACTTTAAAGTTCTATAGGTTTTTTTTCCCTAAGCTTAGAAGCTGAGAACAAAGCAGACACTCCATGAGGCACCAGGTGCCAGGCAGGGTAGACCAGGTTAGCTTATGAATAACTTTATACAAGTCTCTCACAGAGCCCCACACATCATGGATTTCTCAAAAAAAAAAAATCGTTGAGTGGCTAATCCCAGGGTTAATGTAAGATGCAGGCTTTCTACAAATTAAGTTTATCAAATTAAATGTTAGTTTGGCTAATTATTGTTTACTTTGGGGAAAAAACTGTTGGATTTCTATTGTCAACAAGCTGTGAACGACCCTTGAGCTTAAAAGTTAGGGGAAAAATTAACACTCACAGCTTTAATTAAGGCATGGAAGAAGGACATGATATAAAGCTTAGAGCCTGTCACACCTACTCACATCCCCAGGAGCTTGTGGGGGCGACTACTGGGTGACTTCAAAAGTAGAGTTGAATTTGAACCCCTGTTGCAGCATGAAGGCTGTGAAACTTCTCCAACATTCACTTTTCTTTTCTATGAAATCATGTCCATAAAGTTCTGTTTCTAGAGTTGCTTATAAAATACCAATTTACTATGTGCTGAGATCCTCATATAAATGCATCCTGCCACCATGTATCCTCATGCTACCTGCCTCATCACATTGCCTGCCCCACCACACCACCCTGCATCAAATTACCTGCATCATGCCACCCTGAATTTTCACACCAACCTGCAACACACCATCCCAGATCATGCCACCCTGCATCATCACACCACCCTGCATCATCTCATCAACCTGCATCATCACCCTACATCACCACACCACCCTGCATCATCACCCTACATCATCTCATCATCCTGCATCATCTCATCACTCTGCATCATCATCCTGCATCATCTCATCACTCTGCATCATCATCTTGCATCATCATCCTGCATCATCTCATCACCTTACATCATCATCCTGCATCATCAGACCACCCTGAATCATCAGACCATCCTGCATCATCTCATCACTCTGCATCATCACCCTGCATCATCTCATCACCCTACATCATCATCCCACATCATCTTATCACTCTGCATCATCAGACCATCCTGCATCATCATCCTGCATCATCTCATCACTCTGCATCATCAGACCACCCTGCATCATCACACCATCCTGCATCATCTCATCACTCAGCACCATCACCCTGCATCATCACACCACCCTTCATCATACCACCTGTACCATCACACTGCCTGCAATATGCCACCCTACATTGTGCCACTGTGGCTGCAATGATCACAGTGCAATGGGGCACTGCTACCCCAATGCTACATTTAACCTGTTCTGAACTTCCATCAGGATACAAGGTGAATTACTATTGAAGAGGACCACTAGAAAATCTGAGATGAATGGTTGTCTAAGGGAACATCCACTGCCATCCTAATTGCCCCCTCCTTCATCCTTTCTCCTCTGAGAATGCCTTCCTCCCTCAGCCCACCTACACTCCTCCAAGAGTGCCCTCTTCCTTTAACCATCCTTCACCCCCCCTTATCAATCCTCTCTTCTTCCAGATTGCCCCTCTTTCTCAGCTCACCACCCCCTGTCCCTAGAGTACTCTTCTCCCTCATTACATCTTCCCTACTCTGAGTATTTTCCTCCCAGGGTCACTTCTTCCCTGGTCCACTCTCCTTCTACAGACAGTGCTCCCTCCCCACAGTCTGTGCTCCCTTCTCTCACTTGCTCAGTCTGACATGGAAATACAAACACCTAGGCTCTTGTTTTCTCTATGTGTCTTACTTCTTCAGTTGGTGGTGAGGGGGGGGGGGGATGTTTCAGAAGAGACATCATCACAGAACATTGTGGGAATTCAAAACTCCAGGTGGAGAGTGTCTCCCATCTGTGTTTAAAGATTCTATTTCTAGAGCAGGAGGTAGCTGGGACATGGCTCTGGACTTCAGGGGAAGCTGCTCTGAAGAAATGGGCCCAGAGAGGAGCAGCAATGTAAAGACCCCACAGCTCTTCCCAGGCCTTTCCTGCCCTTCCTAGAGAAGGTCTGTGAGATGAACACATCTGAGAGTAGAATACTGACTCCTACAAGGGACCCATACGTCCTTGGAGGTCATTGATGACACTTTGCCAACAGAAATCCTGACAACTGTAATCTGTATCTTGACTTGTGGACGATATTAAACATGGTGTCTCCTCTACTTGGGATCACCCCTGCTTGTGTTTGTGGGCTTCAGTCCACTCACCCTTTCAGCTCTCCTGACGAGATGAAGTCTTTCCTGGCAGTCTTTCATGGGATTCTCTCTACTGCATCACCATAAGATACTCATCAATAGTCCAAGTTCTGACGATGTACTGTGTCACTGCTTCTAGATCACCGTGACCAAATATCTAACAGAAACAGCTTCAAGGAGGAAAGTTCAGTTGAGAGGCTACAGATTGCCATGGCAAAGACAATCTCTCTCAGTTGTGGTACAAACTTGCAGGGTGGCTGCCC